AATAATATTCTAGATATTACGTAAAATAATATAGTGAATAAGTGATCACACAGGCATGAAAATAATGATGATATGAAATAACATGTTATTTGAAATAATATGTCAAATAATATCATTTCAATTGTGCCCAAGTCTGCAGGACTCCAGCTCTACAAGTCTACAGCTCAAATGACTGTACCTTCAAAATCGTGGAAAATATATTTGGTTATTATAGAAACTCTTGTCGCGGTACAAAGAACAGGTCCCGATCGCGTGTGGCGGATCCTGTACTGCTATAGAGCAGTATGTACCATACAATATGTATGTAGTTCATGGGCCAGTTATTCGCGGGCGATGATATGAGTGTGCGAAAAGCAGTAGAGCGCGTCAACGGCTCCATGGAGCATGGAGATAACGAGTTTTACGACATTGAACATCGGACCCTGCATAACACGTGTTACGCTTAAGTTGTGCCAAGGTGAACTCAGGCTACTACGCTCGTAGAACGCGACGGCTGGTGAGTCTGCATGTCAGAAGTCAGTCCGATCCGTGTTTTGTTTACGGTGCAACAACAGTGCGTGTACAAGAACTCAGAAATTTCAGGTCCGGCAAATTGGAAATTTGTATCGGGATCAAGGCAGGTTCTCGAATACTTTAGGATTCTAATAAGCATCAGCAATCTCGATATTGTCGTGTTTCTTAGCGACTTCGAGAATGAAGAAATATAAATAATTTATAACGATTACTTATACGAACGTTTGACGCGCTATTTCCATTGCATTTTTCAAATTTAGTAGCTCTATATAGGTTGTGCGCTCAAAATGAATCTCGTTTTTATATCATTCATCTCTTTTATCCTTACACAGATCATAGCCATCTTCTTGAAAATCTAATTAACAGCAGGTTTCTTATTCACACTTTTGTAGATCATATTCACCTTTCTTGAAATAAAATTAACTCCTTTACAGATTAAAATTTTCCGTCTTTTATTGAACCCTTAAATTTAATATAAATTTATATATTCGTGTATAAAATAATACAAATTTCATCATAAACAATTAATCTTCATAAATGTTCAATACATATTTATAAAATATCATGCAAATTTTATATTTAATATGAATTTTATTACAAATGATTACAAATAAGAGAATCTATTTTTCTAAAGAGTGAATTTCATTTTCAAGAAGTGACTAAGATCTGTAGAAAGGGTTGATTTAACAGGAGATTTAAATGATTTACAAAAAGATTACTTTGAGAAGTGCAAAATGATGAATATGATTTACGAAAGGATTAATTTGGAGTGGAGAAAGACGAATACGATCTACAAAATGATTCACTTTGAGTGCAAGACCTGTGAAAATTGAAGAAGTCCTTGTGTGATTTTCGAAAACGACGATGTTTTTGAGAATTCTGATATTTCTGGAAATCTAGACACTTTCAAGAATCCTGAATATTTTCAGGAATCTCGATATAATCGGGCTTCCCAGAATGTTCAGGTATCCGACCCGACTCATCACTATGTCATCCTGATCCGTTCCGAATACATACCGAGTTCCCGTTATTTTCTCGAAAATAATAGATCTCGAACGCTTTTATTGCTTAGGGTCACGCCTGCCATCCGTGTTCGGTGCGATCGCATTGTTACCTAAACGCAAGTTGATAGCATGCATGGTGCAACAGCGAAAGTGCACACGGAGATAAGCGACGTTGGAACCCTCCGGAACAAGATAATTTCGTAATCCCGGGTACTTCGGTTTCCAAATTTCTCATGCCTCAACCACTTGACCCAAAAAGTTGACCCCGTCTGTGCCCATTGACTGAATAAATGAGGATCAGAGGAACACGCCTAAAAGTAGTCGATCACGCGGATCGTGCAGTTACCGAATTTTATCCCTTTGTACTCGAAGCCAGTGCAATACTAAATCCAAAGTATTTGTCCCAGCTTACAGTAGTTCAATTTTATATGACTTCATGTACTTTATATATGTATATTTTGTATTATTATTATTGTTATATTGTATCCTCAAATGTAATTGAATTGCACAAGTTAGATTTTTAACAGTTTCGTAAATATATACATATTTGATAATGTGAAAATTATTTCGCAACGTAATGCAACAATTTTGAGTTGTGCATCTGAGGCACAACTCGGATGCAAAGGGGTAACATTTCATGAAAAATTCGTTTCATATGGAAACATTGCATCAAAAATGTTTGCAACAATATTGAGATGTACATCGATGCCAGATTGTAATATAATTTTAAAACAATTGTGATTTATGCTATTTAAGAAAGAATTGTATATATGTATATTATGAGATCACAGAAGTCACGCATACACGACTGCGGTAGTGAATATGCTGAGAAACAGAGATCGAATAGAAACGAAATTTCTCCACATAATTTGAGTAAGTCAAATTAAAATAATTCAATTTAAAATGGGGTGAAATAATTTCGAATATATTAAAATCTGCTGTTGAATTACAATTAAACGTATATTCGATGTGGAAATTATTTTTCATTAACGATGGAGGCAAAAGCAATGATAAGACTGATCACGTCGAAGAATGAAAACTATGCACTTTTAGAAGAGTATTCTTTGCTGAACAGAACGTTTTAAATATTCACGAAACCCGATAGCCTGCTAAAAATCAATCCAAAGGCTACACGCGCAAGTACTTCACGTTTTAATTTATTTATGGCGTCCAACTGGAGCTGGTGGCGTGACAGTGAAGTTTTACGAAGAGTAAACTTGATTCTTACACGAGGACATTTAATGAACGGCACTATCGTGTCATAGGGACACGGTAAAGTCCGAGTATCTTTATCTGTCACCGACCAATAATATAGTATGCGTTGAATTATTTTCTAATTTTACTGGCACAACCTTGAGGCTTCCCCCTTGCTATAGATTTCATATTGTCATGCACAGATTAGTTTAACGCGTATATTTCGAGTGGCAAAAGATCTATATACGTATAATTTTAATATTTTTCGTGGAAAATTATCGTTGCGTCAACTATAAGTTGTAATGATAATTTAGGTTCTTGTTAGAACATAGTTTCTGAGATAAGTAGGCTGTAAAACTATATGATCTAAAAATCATAATAAGCACGATAATCAACATAAAAAGAGAAAATATATGCGAAAAATTCGAGTTCCGTCAAAGCAGTTAAATGACAAGTCATGCCTGTGTGACAGCGGCCTATATATGTATGTGTAACTATTTAATCAAAGAGGCACGAGGATGTGGCAGCAACCATCAATATGTTTACAATGGCATAAACTAGCCAGTAACAGGATGCTACCAGACACGTTCGGTTATTTTCAGATGATTGCAAACGAAAGAATACGGCTCAAAAGATTGCATCGATTCATCGAATAAGACATTATGCTGTTCTCATTAGTAATACATTTGAATTTTTACATTGTTTGCACCTACTTCGATTGCTTCGGCATTGAGAAACCAGTAGTACTATATATAGAAATTCAAACATTCGAACTGCGAATAGTATTGGATATTTCGAATTATTTGAACATTACGTTTATCGAGGACAGTGAGACGGTTATTTTTGTCTTATCGGCTCGAGATATTTGCTTCACTTATTTTTCTCGTTCCTTTTTTACCACGAAAATACAAGAAGCTCTTATCAATTCTTATCGACCTAATCGTCTACCAACCCTGGAAAACGTTCAGAGCTTTGGTTTTTAGTAACTACATCGTGTGATAAGTTCGATAAGAGTTCGTAGAGCTGTCCAAGAGGTTCTCGATAATATACCTACTCAAATAACGATAAGCAAATTTCGAACATCTCGAACCGATAAGCCAAAAGCAACTGTTTCATATAGACCTGATTGAAAATAATATTCAAACTCGAAATAATTTGATGGAACCGATTTTGATTTTTAGCGGGATCACCATCCTTTGTAATGTATAAATATATTTGTGAGTTTTAGGTTACTATAAAAGAAGGCACTCGTACACCTTTATGTAACAACGAATACCGACGCACTTCACTCCTGTGTATGTAATAATAAACTCTGCGGAAGGAAATAGTTAATTACACGTACGGCATTATCTGTTTAAGGGATATTCCCGTTTAGAGGATCAACGAGCAACTAACAAAAATCTATTCTGTACAATTTCAAACTTCATTTTTCAACGAAAGCCATATTGGAATCTCTATTTACAAAATACGTTAAAAACTCAGCGATTCTAACGTATTTGTCTCGTAAGAAAAATGACAGTATTGCTTGCATTAAAGAGTCAATTTACACAAACCCACGTCTTTCCCGCTAAAAACTCCCAACAGACGTGTACTCTCTCCGCTCGTTAATGAGAATTTCCCCTTAACCTAAAAACTTTATCTGCGACGAAATACTATGCGATAAAATGAACTTGGAACAAAAAAAAAACAAGAAAATAATTAGACCTACGGTAGTGTTGTGTCTTTCTCTCTATTCTTAGCCTGAATCACGTGCAGCACGTGTGGTGCATCATTACGAATCGACCACGCTAGAAGAAGAAACATTTCAAATATTTGAAACTACTCAAGATGCGTGCGCGCATAGACAATATGTAAGTACAACCTATTGCATAATCTGTTCATTCATCGATAACATCGTTCACCTAGCACCGAGTGCACACAATTCGTCCGTGATTCTCGCATGCCAAGACCGATGACATTTTGCGGCCAAAAAGCAGGAAATACTTTCGGTGTCGGAACGAAGATTAGTATCGACTACCGCGGCTGCAGCTTGCGAACGGTGGCATCCCGGATGCTTGAATCGAGAGAATCGTCGCTATAGTCAGCTGTGTCATTTTTACGATTGTAGAAAAAATCACTCTGTATCAGAAAAATGGTTCTGCTTACTATAGCTGCATGGAAGCGCACGCTGCAGCGCACAAATTGTTTACAATACCGATGGGTATTACGTTCCAAATTTTCGAATTGCTCTAGCCAAATACATATGTATAGCCTACACGAAATATGTATAATACCAAGGCCATTGCTTACCTTCTATACTATGAACGTGTGTCCTAGCAGTTTTTGGTCTGTTCCTTCTAACGAGTTCGACGATTCCTGTCGACTAAACAGTTTTTCCACCGTGAATAGTAGAGGAAATTATCACTATATGCGATCCAAGGGATAAGAATTGTGTGAGTGTGTATGGGTACGTGTATCTGCTGATATGCACACGTTGTACGTGTATGTAAAAGAATGAGGGACGAGGAAAGGACACGAGGGACAGCCGATTACGGCGTGATGTGCTCTGTACTGGTCACCGAACGACTGAATTCGAATTGTGGGATAACATGAGCAATTACGCGGCTTAAGAATTCTTAACGATCTTTGATCTTTGTTCCGAGGGACTCCCAATTCCCCAGAACCGATATGTATCCCCACGATCGTGAAAGGTATACTGGATGGACATGTGACTGTAGTATATCTGTTCAAGCATTTGCTTAAGCCTACGTCTCTCTCCCTCTCTCTCTCTCTCTCTGTTTTTTTATCAGTATTAAGTCGAGTACAAGATCAGCTTCTCTCCCCCGACAGACTTCGTCAGGTTATGCGACCGGACAAACATGCACTGTTCGTCGAACATTCTTGTTGGCCTTACATTGGCGACGATTATCGATCGTAAAGATCGAACTCTTTAGATCTTCCTTACCAAAAAATGTTTACCGGTGACTTATATAGTTGCTCGGTAAGATAATCGTAGGAAGAATGGAACACCACGTGCTTCTGTACTATGAAATGAAACAATTCCACTGATTTTACACTTTCGGCGATAGGATCTAGCACGCACACGATCAGTTGACTCAGTATTCGCGCGAACGATACGCGAACGATAGCGTTTTCTCCTTGTGCAAATCACTGATTTTTGTACACATGTCAAACTCTTAACCTATCACAAGTCAGACTGTCGCGAGTACTGCGTATATTTCAGGGAAACTGAACGTGTCGTACTACCACACGCACTAACGCCAGCGCGGAACACCGATCACTCTATACATGCTCGATTCAGTAGCGGCCATCTTGCTGGTCCGTGTGCTCAAAACTGAAGGAATCAATGAAGCAGCTGTAGCTGAATCTGCAATAATAATCACCGAAAATGCTCTCACTTGATTTCTGGAGGAATCACGAAATATATTTGTTTGGAGAAATTGATATTATTTCTTGTGTATTAAGAATGAATGTTGCTTCAATTTCAACCCGAATTTTGCTTTGAAATCTCCCGCCACTTTTCGTTGCAGTTGACAGGGCACAGTTTGACATTCGACCTGTTAAAATGTTGTATTACTCATTAACATGGTACGAAAGAACTTGAAAGGTATTTAAAATTGTCCAATTATATACAAACAACATTGCACTTTAATGCGAGTCAATCGTATGTGCTTGTAAGGAGCTAAGGATTTGACCTGCAAAACCGCGACGGTCATGTTTCTCAATATAGCTAGCCGGCCTGCACGTGAACCAATCAGAAACCGAGTTTCAATGGGCGGGGATGTGGCGTGATCCGTGATGACGTCATCGTACTCCGCAATCGATAACTACTCGACGTTTAGCAAACCTATCCTATCTAACCCGTTATTGTAGTACCATACACGATCAATGTTTGGTTTGAATGCGCTGCACGTCAAGCAGAGATTGTTTCGTTAAATTGATCCAGCAGACTTCATAAAAAATTCAAGGTATTTTAACCATTGTATTCTAATAGAAGAAACTCAACATTTTAAACCTTAATATTTATAATCTTCATATAAAGAACGATTCTACGAGTTACCATCCCACCGTTTTATCAAGAGAACGACCTTATCGACCATGCTTGTTACTATCAATATCAACAGCAAGTTTTGAATGCAATACGATAATATTTTCATGACCTAAGATGAGTTCATCCATAATTAATTAGCCAATTAATTATGACTATCAAAGCAGTTACGCTGTTCTCTAATTGCTGCCGATAATGCAATCAATAACATGAAATGTATATATTTACGTTTCATTTCACTTATTTAGTAATGTTAACAACACTATCGTAATTTGCGAAAAGGAAATGAAAAAAAACCAATCAAATCGATATTACACGTTTTCCAGAAAATGAAAATTGAATTCAAAGTAACTGATCTTGTTAGATAACAATAATAGCTAAAGGTAGGCAAGTATTTTAGAAGAAGGAGAAGTACGTGTACCTAGTCAACATTTAAACTTTATTAAAACCAACAATATTAACAAGAACAACAAGAACACACCATTCTGCCTGAAAACAGTCCATAGAAACTCGACTTTAAACAAATTCAATTGTTCCGCCGCATGTCGGTTGAGAACGCCATGTATATCGGTTAGTTTATGCACTCGTCTAGAGCGGTTCGCATCATGAATGATCAAGTGCCGGGAGACCTACGACATTAGTAACATGATTCAAAATAATAATAGCCTCAAAATAGTTACGCCTCTCTGTTTCAAACCTTCTATTCACATAATGCGTTAAGACACTGCCGTTAATGAGCTGGTCATGATGCTGCAGCTATGGATGCTAAAAGCAGTGCGAGGAAACAAGCTAGCAAAACCATGAAATATGTGATTATGGTAACACTTATGAGGTTAGTGACATACGAAATACGCATTCCAATCGAACGAACGATCTCCTTGTTGTGGGATCCACAAATATTCTCGCATTCTGTGATCTCACCTTCATCATCTGGTTTATGTTCGTCCGTCGGCAATTTAACATCGGTTGGTAATGCAGTTTCCTCTTGATCACATTCTACTTCTCTGTCTTCATTTTCTACCATACCAGTATTTTCAGAGGTTGTCAATAATTTTTCCTCCGTGATTGCAATTTGAGCCATGCTGGGTGTATCGCTCGCATCTTTTTTCCACAACGCTTCCAACTCTTCGATTTCTTTTTCATGCTCACACAAACTTGCCGCTGCTAACTGTAGATCATGAACGGCTTTGGACAGATCCAATTCCGGATCGATATTCGAGTTATTTTTCGTTTCCTCTGACTCAACTTCCTCGTGGTCCCAATCTGTGCTTACCGATGTATTTTTTTTAGGAACTATGTTTAAGGCGTCGGTAGACTTCGACGAAGAAGACAGGTCGTCGTTCACGTCTTCTGGACTGTATGTGATGGAGCTACGAGTGCTGGTATTGGGCGCCGTACTATCGGTTTCTATTTCAGAACACCGCGACGTCAGCGAATTCTTTTGGCTTAAACGACTATCACGTAAGCGATCCGCAAAGCTGCTGAACGCCTCCGCAATTAGTTTAACATTTTCGTCCGCGACACGCAGATAGAAGTCGAAACCATTATCGTCAGTTTTCTCGACATCTTCGTTCTTAGAATCACAGATGGATTCTGTCAGTCTTTCTATGTCTTCGTTATCTCCGATTTCCTTATGATCTTCCTCGTTGCGCTCCAAATATTGGCCACCCAAAGTTTGAATATGTAAAACCGTGGTGTCGTCAGCCTTACGGCTATCATCTGGTTTATCAACTTTTGTCGGTTGGTCGGCTTCGATATCATGCGTTTCTGCACTCGGTTGCACATCCGCATTCTCTTCTCCCTCAATTAAATTAACTAGATCTTGGCACAAATTGCTATAAGCGGTGAAGTCTGATGCGGTATCTTGATTGGACGAATCGTTCGATTTCGCCTGCAAGCGATCATGCCAGAAGTCAGTACTTAAAGCCTGCGATAATATGCCAGTCGATGCCACAGACCTTTGTGCTCCGGTATCGTCCTCGCTCTTCTTGTCAAAATTCTGTATTCTCGTTGACGGTGATACGTAAACACGCAGTTTCCTCCGACTTATATTCGAGATTGGATGGTTACCGTTTATATCGGTTCTCTTAGTTTTCAACGACGCTTCAGCTCGCCATCGAGTATCGTAATCCGAAAGTTCGCCGTCGCTGACCACGCGCCTGAAACAATCTGATTTCGCAGGTAATGATTTAACGTCGATCACCGCGTCACTAATCCCGATCTTAAGTTCCTGAAGGCTAGGTTCCCTTCGAAGGTGTATGCGATCATGATTGATCAGACCGTATAGATTAGCGGACAGAGATCTGACCGCTCGTTTTTTCTTGATACCAAGTGTGGTTTCCTGATCTTTCAAGACGCCAATCTTACCTTCGGTTGCATTCTTTGCTGTATTGGCATCCTTCCGCAAGGTTCTATAGGCCAAGTCGTCTGTAACAATGTCAGGCTCGCACTGTGGTATGTACAATGAACGAGGCTGATCCGGCTTTGTTGGCGTGGTGTGCAAATAGTCGCTCTCTGTGGCAGTAGTTACTGGCCTCAGAGGTATTCCAAACGGTGGTTGCGGATCGGCTACCTTCAACGTGTTGTTCGCATGATGAATGCTGCGATAAACGACGTCGTCGCGTGTCACATCCGGTTCGTCTTTGCGGGCTTGGTAATTTGTGGCATACCGATAATCATCGGCTGTGTCTTTGCGTGACAAGACAGGCGAGGCCATTAAATAGCTGATATTAGAGAGCGCTGATTGTCCGATTACTTCTGACAAAGATGCGGGTCTTTCTTTCGGATGCATCCTCCTGTAAGCCATATCGTCTTTAGATCTGTCCGGTGAATCCACCAAATCTAACGCGACACAACTATCTGTTTCACCGCGACGTAGAGTGAACTCTTCCATGCTACGCCGTTCCGCTCGATCAAGAAGATCTTCGTCTCCAAGGCACAAACTGTTATATATTGCTTCTAATTCAGACAATGCTTCTTCCAAATTCTTCGAACTTCTTCGCCTTTCCACAACATCTTGTTCCATTACTGTTCCCTGTTCATCGCTCTTTTTCTCTGCCTTTGTACTCAGCAAAAATGAATTGTTTAAATGATCTTGAAGCGTTTGTTCAGAAGGGGATTTTGCATCTGGAGATTTTAAAGCCCTACTGTTAGCAGGCATTGAATTGTATATGTTTTGTCCAGAAGTTGCACACAATTTTTGTTCACGTTTTTGAACATTGTGATCATTGAATCTTGAGTTCAGCTGCTCGTTTCGATTGTTTCTTCGTTGACACTTCATTGCTTCTGTCTCTTGGAACTTTGATTCGTTTACGTGCCTGCCGGTTGAATTGTGTCTGTTGTTTGTACATTCCGACGAGTTACACGATTGTGTTGGTATCACAGTCAGTGACAATGGACGACGTGGGCATTGTTTGATTGAACCACACCAACTTATCTCATTATTTGAGTCATATGATCTTGTACTTCTTAAATGATCTCTCGCAGGTTCGTGCACATTGTCCACATTTTGATGTGGAGACTCATAATATCTTGATACTCTATATTTTCCACTGGATGGGAAAGAATTATATCCATAGCTAAACACTTTGCAACGAGGATCCCGTGGTGGAGGTTCTGGTGGAGAGGAACTACGGTGTGCAGACTTACTATTCTTTATATAATCATAAGGTTTTGCATAGTCAGAGTTTAGTGCTGAGAAGTAGTTTTGCTCTTCGTGGTTCATGCTATGCTTATCTTTGTGCAAAACATTTGGTTTTGCGTCTGTATTATTTTGATTTAAATCTGTAATGTATCGATTTGAAGGATATCTCGCAAGTTCAGTAGATGATTTTGTTTGATAGCTACACGAAGCTGCCTGTCGTACATTTTCCACAGATCTTTGTACTGGAAATGTGTAACTATTAGGTTGTGTAATAGAACGAGATTGTACTTGAGGATATAATAGGTTACTTTCGTTAATATTCAAAGATTGATGTGCATTCATACAGTCGAGACTATTGCGTTTGTTGCTTGCATTGTTTAATTGCTCTGAAAATCTATGACTCTCGTCCTTCGATAAACGTTTTATGTAACGTTCTGTACGTGCAGCGCGAGTTTTTCTATTACAGGAACTACTTTTCTGTGTATTTTGAGTGCTGGATTCATTCTGAAATCTATTTAATGAATTACAAGACACTCTGGAATCTTCATCTGAACTACTATCTGCACAAATGCGGTCTCTTTCTGCTTCTATTCTGGCCTTTAGTACACTTTTACGTAACTTCTTATTTAGTCTATCCAATGATCCATCACTACTACGAAAGTGTACCGAATCCCTCTGTAGACTTGCAGTGTCTACCGAGTTGTCAATAGTACCATTGCTTGAACTATGTTTACTTAAATGATGATCAGAATTTTTTTTAACCGGATGAAGCGTAACATTATGAGACTTTTGATTGAACACTGAAAGAGGTCTCGATTGTCTTGTGCAATATACCATTTCTTCATCATTTGAGGAACTGTCATAATCACGTATTGAAGATATTAGTTTAAAGATGCCTCCGATCGACCACTTTTTCTCTTTCTTTTTATCCGATGAAGTTACTGCATCACAGACAGGCAATCGCCTCGTTGGTGGCAAAAGACCATCCATCCTTAATATATCTTTGCCAGTAATACTTCTTTTCTTTTCCATTATAAATAATTTCCCTATTTAAACAAAATGCCTGAAAGAAAAGAAAAAATTATTCAATGTCTAACACTATAAATTGGTAAACATCTAACAATCACAAATATACTTACGAATTTACACATATAAATGCAGAAAATATATAAATGTATCAGGATGCTTTGCAAAATTTCTTTGCAACAGAAATCGCCAAATAGATTACATCTTATAATAACGATAAGTTTGATCTTTGATTCCGTTTACGGATATGTTTACATTACGACCACCTTGAAACAGTACTTCCATTATAAACAATTAAGCAGTATTACGTGCATGCATATTAATAGAATATTGTCTGCTAACCTCTATGCAAACGTTTGGCCAAACGAATGAGATGTGTATTTGGCGAAGGGCGAATTCTTTGTCTGTTTGCCAAAATTTTAATTTGACTCACGAGTATCAGCCACGATCATTCACATCGTGTACGCCTGAGAGAAAAATACGTTTCTATAACTGAGGTCAGTATACATTGAGTGCAGTGTCGATAACGTTGATAAGATTTCCACACCTCTTTCCAGCCTTTCGCAATGTATGTCTGTCCTGCTTGTTATCTTGACAGATGATACGTAAGGGCGTATATAAACTTCACACTTTTACGGATCACTGTCCGAGTACCGCTATTTTCGGTCGCCCGTCAGACCGAAAATAAATATATTTAGAAACTGTGATTGGCTTTCGATCGTGATCCGGAGACGGTCTACGTTTTGCGACCAATATTTACCTTGCGTCTATTTAACGCTGCCATTACATGGACATCAGTAAACGCGTGTCACGCGTCGAACGCAAGGATACTGTTGGACTACACGAAACTGACTCGAATCAACTCGAATCAGACATGAGGAGAGAAGGGATTCATCGTTCAAACCCCACCCATTACCAGATTCCCCCTAACTCTCGCGCAGAATCACACACTAAATACTCCACGTATCTTACACACCCACACATCGTAGATTGTATATACATTTCAGACGTGTCAGAGGGAATTTGTTAGCGGGTTAGGTTGCTTAGCAAACGTTTTGCCTTCGGAATCTGTATGATGTATCGCCTAAACATGACTACGATAACTTCGTTAAGAAGCCGCCATTTTTTGGATCGAAGACGAGGAATGTGAATTCAGATATTCAAATGCTGTTCTATTTAGCTGCACGCTATATTATTTTATGGGGAAGGTTCGTGACAGGTTCAAAAATTCGCCACCAGGAGGGGTGGGGAGAACTTCTCAATGGTTTCAAGCGACTACTACATTCATTTTGTACACACTTTATGTATTAAATTACGTTCAATACTAAATTCGACGCGAATACAATTAATAAGAACACTGGTGCAGTCACTGGACGAATCATCGACGTATTACATAACATTTTTCAAGGCAACTTAAAAAAAGACGGAATCATCGTATTTAACATGACTATTAGCACCATCCGACTATGCAACATTCTCTTATTTAGAAAGTCAGATCGTGCTCTTTCAGTACCCACATCCCAGAATCTCACCGAAGGTTTTTATCCATGACCCGCAATATTATTTATTGTACATTGCCCGAAGTGTTAAAGGTCCGGCAAAAAGATTGTGTTATTCTTTCGAAATTAGGTATTCGGGCTTCATCATTCCAGTTTGGGGACCATATACGGACGACCAAAGACACTGGATGATGTATACGTACGTATCTCATGGAGTACCAAGGAGAAAGCCGCTTTCAACATTAATTCAGGACGTACCTTGACTGTATATGGCAAAAACTCCATAAGTAAAACCGATGAGCTGCGATCAATGCCGGAAATATTATATTTTTTTTATGTGTTACAGGATGTAGCTATTTAGTACCTAGAATTTTGAATATGATGACACAATTACAAAAAGATAAATAAATTTAAAAAATTAATGTTTATAAACGTATAACGAGGAATAAGCAAATTATTATGCTGCATTCGCAAATATCGTACAGATGCACTGTTTTGCATTGCACCATTTTAAAGTTTTGGACGCAATAGTTCAACTGATACGTTGGTCCCTACAAGTGGGACAGGGATGTTCAAATGTTGTGATAGTGAAATATTCAAATTTGATGATGCATTACCTCATGTTTTATCATTCTAACAATTGGAGAAAAGTTTGGGTCGGGTTATCGCAGAGGGGAGCAGCCTTATGCGGTCAATCAAATTTCGCGCGTTTTCTAGTGTCAGTACCGTAATATCATCTTTTAGTGCCCCCCGGATGTTTACTGGTTTTCGAAGTGACCGACAGAAAGAATGAAAATTCCGTTACACAACAGGGTCAAATGATGGCAAGGACAACAACCGTATGAGTGTTAAGCTTTTTCGTTTATTGAAAATATCTCTGTAAAACGTGTGTATATTGTGTCCGGGCGAGGTAAGCCGACAAAACCGAATCATTCGACAACGAAACGAAATCGGGTAGCAAACGAAGGAATACGGTGAAGACATTGAAAACAATATAGAGTCGATCGTATTTAGTATCTACATAAGTAAAGGACGAATCAACGATGCATTCGCTTACTTTTTCTTCTTTTTTTTAATCTTAGTATATTAATTATATTATGTATAACAAAGCGGTAACAACTTGTTAATTGTAACTATTACGGTAATAATCGTTTACTTTATATAATTACAATAATGTAATGTAAGGATGATCGTTAACTAATCGATAACAAACGAATCGTTTCCACCTCCATCCTTCCTTCGTCTTGATCATCATGTTCTCGTCACTTTCTTACTTTTTATGCTCTTTGTATCTTTGTGTGTTCTCCCCTATATATTTTATTAAATCCGATATCGGTTTTCGGTTGAAACTTTTTTTGTATTGTTACATTTTTTTTAGTTTTCTTATATCGCTCATCCCCTCTTTCGTATTAATTATTTAACAACAGTTTTTTCATCCCTTTTATTATTTGCTCTTTAATTTAATAATCGTAGTAAACATAGTAATTATTTATAATATTGTGCAAATAATCCATATTTTATTCTGTTTAATAGTAATGAATGTCATTCAACGGAGGAGCTCATCTACGTTCTCGTTTCGCTTGCTCTCTTTCTCTCTCACCTCGATACTTTCTCTCTTTCTCTCCCTCTCTCGCTCGTTCTCTCTTTCTCTCTCCTTTCTCTCTTTCTCTCTCTCTTTCTTTCTCTCTCTCTCTCTCTCTTTCTTTCTTTCTTTCTCTCTCTCTCTCTCTCTCTCTCTAATTCTCTTGATACCACGATCGCTTCCTATCATTCTCGCGAATTCTCTCTCTCCCTCTCTTTCGCTCGTTCTTTCTCGCATTCTCGCACTCTCTCACACACACGCACGTTATCTCGGTGTCTCTCGGTTTGCTTGCTCGCGCGCGTCCACTATACGCGACGGCGCACGCGCGCAACCGTCACTCACCGCGGTCACGTGTTTGGCCGTGTCGCGCGCACGTGCAACCCGCATGCGTAATGGCGCGCGAGCACGCACGGAGCACGCATTTTAAATGGACGAACCTTCGCGTGTAATGTTTTGTTTTTTGGTTTAAATATTTATATTTTTTTTCGACAGCTAGCTCGTTAAAATTGGATTTTTTTTCTTAGCACATTTTCGTCTATCTAGCTTGTTGACCCATGGCAGTTGCTTGTTCATTATACTGGCCGACAGGCTCCGCAGCTTGACACTTTTTACTTGATTACTTGTGTGTTTATTTTATTTTCCTTTTTTTCTCAGACCAGCTCTAGGATCTTCGTGGTTTCGTTATAACATTTTTTTTGCTTTTGTTCTGTACTCATTNATAATTACAATAATGTAATGTAAGGATGATCGTTAACTAATCGATAACAAACGAATCGTTTCCACCTCCATCCTTCCTTCGTCTTGATCATCATGTTCTCGTCACTTTCTTACTTTTTATGCTCTTTGTATCTTTGTGTGTTCTCCCCTATATATTTTATTAAATCCGATATCGGTTTTCGGTTGAAACTTTTTTTGTATTGTTACATTTTTTTTAGTTTTCTTATATCGCTCATCCCCTCTTTCGTATTAATTATTTAACAACAGTTTTTTCATCCCTTTTATTATTTGCTCTTTAATTTAATAATCGTAGTAAACATAGTAATTATTTATAATATTGTGCAAATAATCCATATTTTATTCTGTTTAATAGTAATGAATGTCATTCAACGGAGGAGCTCATCTACGTTCTCGTTTCGCTTGCTCTCTTTCTCTCTCACCTCGATACTTTCTCTCTTTCTCTCCCTCTCTCGCTCGTTCTCTCTTTCTCTCTCCTTTCTCTCTTTCTCTCTCTCTTTCTTTCTCTCTCTCTCTCTCTCTTTCTTTCTTTCTTTCTCTCTCTCTCTCTCTCTCTCTCTAATTCTCTTGATACCACGATCGCTTCCTATCATTCTCGCGAATTCTCTCTCTCCCTCTCTTTCGCTCGTTCTTTCTCGCATTCTCGCACTCTCTCACACACACGCACGTTATCTCGGTGTCTCTCGGTTTGCTTGCTCGCGCGCGTCCACTATACGCGACGGCGCACGCGCGCAACCGTCACTCACCGCGGTCACGTGTTTGGCCGTGTCGCGCGCACGTGCAACCCGCATGCGTAATGGCGCGCGAGCACGCACGGAGCACGCATTTTAAATGGACGAACCTTCGCGTGTAATGTTTTGTTTTTTGGTTTAAATATTTATATTTTTTTTCGACAGCTAGCTCGTTAAAATTGGATTTTTTTTCTTAGCACATTTTCGTCTATCTAGCTTGTTGACCCATGGCAGTTGCTTGTTCATTATACTGGCCGACAGGCTCCGCAGCTTGACACTTTTTACTTGATTACTTGTGTGTTTATTTTATTTTCCTTTTTTTCTCAGACCAGCTCTAGGATCTTCGTGGTTTCGTTATAACATTTTTTTTGCTTTTGTTCTGTACTCATTGTTTATTGTATTATCATGACGACGTTAGGTTAATGAGTTTCGAGAGTTTCTTTTCATCGAGACACTACAAAGCCCTTCTGTTTTATTTTATGTTTATTTTTTTTTTGTTCGCTATCCGTTTAAGAAAAATTTTTTTTCGTGCATTTACGATTAGTTAACTTAGTTTTCATTCTCTCTTTTATACAATGCGTAACGGCAGTATCGTCCACGGAGAAAGTACGTTTAAACCTCGTCTTACCTCGCTTAACGAAGGAAAGCCCTATATGTATATATTTATATATACATTTATATATGTATATACATATGCGTATATACATATATATATGTATATATTTGTTTTTTCTTTAATTATCTTACAGCCGTCGTCGCGCAAAAGCTGGTATTTTTTTTTCATCTTTAAATGTACGTTTCAGTAAAACGAACGAAAAAAGTTAATGAAGCACACCATGCATACTCGTCCACCCCCCTCCCCCTCGTTTCTTCTCGTTACCGTAGCAATTTGGCCGATCGAACGAACGTCTCCCCTGATTCTCAGATTTCCCTCCCCAACAATACCGAGCGTCACGATCAAACGAATTTCGGGGACGCGTGCTCCCACCTTCGATCTTTCACGCTACCTTCTTTAATCTCTTTGCCCGTGTCTACCTTTGTTCTCGAGGTGATCCCGCCGACGCGATTCAACGGACCGAATGTTCGAGCTCGTCGACACGTGATCGACGAACGCGATTGACGACCGGGGAAGTTGCGTGTCAATTGAATATTCGATCGGACGACGAATCGCTTGGTTTTTCTTCCTTTGTCGCGCGATAAAAAAAGGACCGGCTGGTAAAAATTGGGAACGAGACTAGCTGAAGAACAAGGGATCTTCGTTTGCCGTACCTCTCGGGAGGGGGGAACAACCGATTCCTGAAGCGAAAATATATCCGCAATCGTCTGGCAGCGCGGTCGCGAAAGAGGCCAGTGTGTTTCGGGACACTTTCTGCGTCGCGCAACAGACAATTACACCTCATTTCATCTCGTCACGCCCTATTTACGCCCGTCGCGTGTCTCTTCCCTCTTTCTTCCTCTTTCTCTCTCTCTCTCTTTTTATCTATCGTTTCCTTTTCGTCTCTTTCTCTCTCTCTCTCTCTCTTTTTCTTTCTTTCTCTCTTTCTTGCTTTCTCTCTCTTTCACTTTATTTTTTTTATTGCTTCTAGGAGTTTCGCGGTTTGCCCAATCGACAAAGTAGTATCGAAAATATATGTGTATATTATATGCGTACAAACCATTTGATTATTATCGAATTATTTGCACATATTACAGCACGGTAGGGGATCGAAACTGAACAAAAGGGGGCGAGAGGGGGTATCGGAGTAATTAGACAGTGAGCCGGACGGACCATCAGATTACGTCGTACTTCGATAGAAAGAAGGATCGACGAGCTTTACAAGGTGAAATAATCGTCGATCGATCTCGTGCCTCGATTCGTGTCGTTTCGTCGTCGTCGTTGTCCGTCGTGCTCCGTGTACCGGTTGCGCGTTAATAATGCTGTCAGTAATATTAATCGCGATCATGTATTTTTTTTCTGACCTCTGCGAGACAACGATAGAAACTTACGTTTACGTACAACATGCGTCTATAGAAAAATTCGATGAGATTCTTGCACGCGCGCGCGCATGCGCGCGCGAGTTCGCTCACACGCGGGAACAGCAACGGTATTATAATAAACACTTTTAGTTTCTCTTTATTCCTTTTTTTTTTATCATCGTCATCGTTATCATCATCCTCATCATAGTTATTCATCATCAACTTCTTCGTTTTCTTCTTCTTCATCTTTTTAGGCGTAATCTTTCTCCGTTTCCGTTGCGAGTGGGATTGCCGATAAGTATATATGTATATATATACATATATATACATACATACATATATATATATATATATTATATATATATATATATATATATATATATTTTAGATGTGTCGAGCCGATTCATGGTTAATAAATCGATGATCGCGCAGAGACATCGGAATCCCCGGATTGTATGTTAAATGTCGGTTTCCGCGAGAGAGATTCAGAGCGTAAGAAAGCCGAATCCCGCCGAGAAACGAAGAACGACGACCTATTCCGAACGAACGAGTCGCGAGGACGCAGCCACGCGTATACGTTGAAGCGTGCTCACGAATGGATCATCGAATGGCCCGCGACGAGAATCGTGAAATGCAATTTATAATATACGTAGAAAAGGTACGAGGACATTAATATCGGACAGGCGTTTTTTTTTTCTAAAATACTTTGACAAAGCGGACTCGACACCGATAGTGTGTGAATTATTTGTACGTGTAATTTACAATGGATCCTCACCCTCTTGAGCCTTCGTAGCTTANGTGTCGAGCCGATTCATGGTTAATAAATCGATGATCGCGCAGAGACATCGGAATCCCCGGATTGTATGTTAAATGTCGGTTTCCGCGAGAGAGATTCAGAGCGTAAGAAAGCCGAATCCCGCCGAGAAACGAAGAACGACGACCTATTCCGAACGAACGAGTCGCGAGGACGCAGCCACGCGTATACGTTGAAGCGTGCTCACGAATGGATCATCGAATGGCCCGCGACGAGAATCGTGAAATGCAATTTATAATATACGTAGAAAAGGTACGAGGACATTAATATCGGACAGGCGTTTTTTTTTTCTAAAATACTTTGACAAAGCGGACTCGACACCGATAGTGTGTGAATTATTTGTACGTGTAATTTACAATGGATCCTCACCCTCTTGAGCCTTCGTAGCTTAAAATAATGAACATTTTTTTGTTGTTTGTTGTAGGTTTGCTTGCTTGCTTATCTTGCTTGCTTGCTTGTTTCATTTTTTTCACGTTACTCTCGTTTTCTCTCGCTTTGTGTATACCGTCTCCCACGCGCCAAATTCTCTCTCTCTCTTTCTTTCTTTCTTTCTTTTCTTGTCTCTTTCCGTTTCTCTCTTTGTTTTCTTTCCACGTATCCTGCTAATAACTATTAAAACCTATTACATCTCCCTGGTTTATCGTAACGTCCGTAACCATCGTCCCTCATCGTAGTCCTCCGTCGTTCTACTTGCTACGTATTGTTTCGGAATTACAGAAATCCTTCGAGCGAGCTGCGAGCTGCGAGCTTCTTTCCACGTTACGTCAGTTTTCGACCAGCGAGAACGATTCTACACCCGATCTATACATCTATATCGTGCATCGTGTACCTGTCACGTCTATATCCCTCTCACGACGGCCCACGATTTCCGGTTTACCGCGCGCGTGAACTAAGTTATTATACCGATCCTCGACCCATCTTTCGACCGTGTCACGTTCTGTCATTTTTTTTGTTTATCGTTTCCTCCTTTCGGATCGTGGATTGTAAACGTAGAAAAATAACGATCGCACAGTCCGCGTTAATACACACCCATGCACACGCACTCGCACACACGCAGGCACGCGCCACACATCCACACTCACGCGCTTCTCACTTTCTCTCATTGGTTTTGTTTTTGTCCTATGTCTCGCTCCGACGCGCTTTATCGTCGCGCGCGGGCGCGACCTCGAGGATAACGTTCATTCGTTTTCATCGAGTTATACGTATATGTATATATCTACTTCGTGTACAATGATGCACGTACACACTGTTGACCTGTACGCTTCGTAACGCGCTTGTCGACACGTTCTCGGTCACACGGTTGCCGCAAAGTAAATCGGTTACACAGCGTTTCCTCTGCGTCAGCGTATATATAACACTGCGAAACCCGTACGTTTATACCGTAGTTCGCTCGACTTCTAGCAAGTACGTGTTTATATATACACTGTTCGGACCGACCACGAATTCTTCGATTTACTTTGCGCGACTGACAGTGGCGACCGCCCGAGACTCGCGGATCCCTGTCACGGTTTTCTAGGATGATTCGGAACAGGATGGAAAACAAGTTGTCGTCCGGCTTCTATTTGGAGGTTAAGCTTTCTTGGCACTTCGCGCTCCGGGTACAAAACGAACTCACCGCGGCAAGAGATTCTCGCGAACTGAACCGGAAGTGGCCGATGGTCGAAGAGTGAATCGTCGGGGATATACTATGTCGGGTCGTCTTTCCTCTGCATTTCCTATTGTATCGTGATCGACGCGTGAACGATCCGCGAGTTAAGTGGTCCCCACTGTGCGGCTACGTACATTGCGCGATGCGATTGTTAGGTTAAACTGGCAGAACCCCGTGCTGAGAGGTTATGTCACCTACCATCGGCCACCGTAACGCGATCCTGTCGCTCTAAAACGGCGACCGGCAATCGTCTGTGACTGTCAGACACGTGGTTCTCCGCAATGTTAAAGCACGTAAACCCGTTCGAAACCGACCCGGGGAACTGGAACGATTCCCATCGGCGACGGCGCAGCGTCGTTTCTTTCGTTTCCTACGATCCCGAACGCGATACAACTTCGTTTGAACGACGAAAGAAAGCGTAGCTACTCCGTCGCGGCCGTTGAATCGTCATCGTTCTTGGACAATGGTGCGGCAGTTCGAATCGCAAAACGAGGATCGTACGATCTCGACTAAACACTCTCCTCTTTTATTTCCCGGCGTCTCACCGTTTCCCGTGAACGGCCTGCCATGGCGAAACAGCGAGACGCGCTGTTTAGACAATTTAACGGAAACTATATAGTAAATATTTGAAGCAACGAACATCAAAGTGGTAAATGCTTTAAAACCTTAACAAACAAACCTCATCGAAAACTTAACGTTTCGTTTTGGCATCCGCGATTTAAGCTAAATCAAAGGAGCGCGGGCACAACTTCCTCGAACACGCTCGGTCTCTAGGATTTTTCGGTCATTGGCAAGATCGGGAAACGTTTTGAAGCGGGCAACGTCGGCGTCCGATATAAATGCTTATCGAAGAGGCTTTAGATCCTGATCTGGGGCTGCCAGCGGGGTTTGATTGCCAATTGATACGTCGCGACGACTATTCGGAAACGGTGGTATGTTACCTTCGTTCCGCTATCGAACTTTAAAACAGGTCGTGTTAATATACAATAATTCGAATATATCCTCTTTCTGTACGCGAATAACTTTTTTTAGTGTTCATCCTATAGTCGAGAATCGTCGCGTTTCAGGTACTTTTAAGAATCAACATCTGACTTCAGAAGAAACGTTCGCTGGTCGCGCGCAACGAATACGCGTATCAGCCTCCGAATCGAGGATTGAATTGTTCGATTGGATGAATTCCGTTGCTAGAGACAGTTGTGCCCCGATCTCCTTATCACCAGCCGAGTGAATTCATAAAATTTTCTTGTCGTATCTTTTAAACATCTCGCGTGTAAATCCACTCCACAATTAGGCGACACATTACGCATTTACTGCGAGACGGGTTTACGGGCGCGCACGATTTCTTTCTCTCTCTCTCTCTCTCTCTCTCTCTCTCTCTCTCTCTTTCTTTCGATTACAATTATTCGAAGTAACGTTACACTAATCGTGTATATTCATTTATTCCAAAGCGCATTACTACGTCGTGTTAGACTTGTGTGTCCTGTGTAAGTTCTGCATGTGTATAAGTATCTAGCTGATGATGATTGCGAGATTCTTATTTGCTACCGCCCTCTCCGTCCCTTTTGGCAAGAATCGTAACGACTATCTCACGGCACTACGTCGCGATAGCCCAACGTTCGAGATACAAAGTAAATATAAAAAACGATTATTGCTCTAGAATCAATATACGAAATCAATACGAAAATATTGCACTATGAACTTCCGCGCCGGCCCGAAGCTCAACGTTCGATAAAGTCATCTAGTGTTTCTATTGGCTCGACTAGTTCGATAAGTTTACGATACGTTACTTTGAGTCCGAGACAATAGTTGAACAGAACGGATACGTGAACGTAAATACAAAGGCACAAGGGTGAGTCCCGTTCCGGAAAAATGATGCAGAGGACACGAAAGAAACCAGAACGCGGTCTAACTACACGAGTCTCTAGTCGCTTGGAACACGCTAGGATCGAAATCTCCGGGTCGTGATTTGAGCTACCATCGGCGCCGATTCGTCTCTCTTCCGGCCAACGATCAGTTTCATCTCGAACTCGAACGACGCGATTGTAAAAAATTCCATATTGTTGCGAAACGCGGAACATCAAACGATCAAGAGAGCGAGCGGTCAGCGAGTCAGGAACAGAGAGGGGGAGGGGGGAGTTGGAGGGGAGTTTAGCCAGATAAAATAAAGCCGCGCGACCAAACATTGGCGCGCCGTATTGCGTAAAATTTTATCAAGCCGAACGAATGTAATTAGCTACGCGTACATTTTTCACCAATGGGTCTCTCACTTGTGACATTCTTCATCACGATCACCGTCATCATCATCATCATCATCATCATCATCATCATCATCATAACCATAATCATAACCATAATCATAATCATAATCATCATCATCGTCATTACGATCACGATCACGATCACCATCATCGTCATAATCATCATCATCACCACCATCATCATCATCATCATTATCGTCGTCGTCATTATCATCATCATCATCATCAGAATCGTCATCGTCATCATCATCATCGTCATCGTCATCACCACCACCACCATCATCGTCATCATGAACATCATCATGATCATGATCATCATCATTATCATCATCATTATCATCATCACCAAAATCATCATTATCATCGTCGACGTCGTTGCCGACATCATCATCATCATCATCATCATCATCATCATCATCATCATCATCGTAAACGTATGACCGCGTCTAATCGTAATCTTAATCGTCCTATGATCATCCTCACTAGTATCGCGTCGATTATGATCACCGATGTCTTCGTCAATGTCTTCAATTGATCTCCGTTCTTCCGTCGTTTTCCATCTCGTTTGTTTCCACACATCTGTTACCTCGTGTCCCTCGTTTTCCCTCCAGTATAGTCCTCTGGGCACACCACAGCGTAACGACCGAAGGTAAACCGATCGAAAATAACAAATAGTCATCCGCGCGAGCTTCGACCGCGAAGCGAGTGGCGAACGCGGCGTGTCGCGCCGCGCCGCGTTCTCAGCAAGTTTCAGCTGAGAGTAAAACCATGTAAAAAATCCAATATCGCGAGATAAAGATTTACAAGAACTGGCCTACATTTGTTTCGTGTGTTGTGTCTCGGGGATGATACGATCGGTGATTTCGTG